GTGGCTGGGGAAGGAATTTTCTCCTTTGTTCTCCGTTTCCCACAGATGACTCACACCGTCCTCGTGTCCTGGAGAGCAGAAATCTTGCAAGGGTGGCCCTGGTGTTTACTGGGGGGGGCAAGGAAGTCACCTCCAAGGAATGTTGTAGGCGTGGCACTTACCCAAGAGACCCCTCATGCTTCAACAGCTGGTGGTCAGCCCAATACTGTTCCCAATATATATTAAAACAAAATTGAGGGCTGGGCTGGGCACTGTGGCTACAGGCATCCACCACAATGCCCGGCTTTTTTTTTTTTTTTTGCAGTTTTTGACCGGGATGGTTTTGAATCCGCCACCTCCAGCATATGGGACCGGTGCCCTACCCTTTTGAGCCACAGGCGCCACCTTGCCAGGCTATTTTTTGTTGCAATTTGGCTGGGGCCAGGTTCAAACCCACCACCCTTGGTATAAGGGGCCTGTGCCCTACTCACTGAGCCATAGACGCTGCCCCTCTCAGATTTTGCTAGGCTTTCCCCTGACACACCTGTTGCAGCCTGAACTGGCCTGCTGAAGAACACCTTGAAAGAATGTTCCCAAAGAACAATAGAGAACATCTGGGGGGGGGGGGTTGCTCTGCCTGGAAGGGTGGGCGTCCTTAGGCCAGATCTGCTTTGTTTCCTGGGTAACAGCTAAGGATTTGCCTGGAAGTTCAGCATTCTGGAAGGAATAAATCCGGAGGTTTGGTGACAAAGAGATTTCAGGAAGACGTACACTACAGAGATGGAACTCAGAGAATGAGGCCAGAGCTAAAAAATACTCCTGCCCATGTGAATGCTCACTCAGTCTCCACTAGCAGAGAGACTCTTACTAAAGGGGGGAAGCAGATATCCTTTGTGGCTGCCTCCCTTCCCCAGGCAGCCTAGTGTTTTCAAAATGGGCTCCATAACCAAGTCAGTGGAAAAGACGCCATACTCTGTAAAGTGATTTTAAGAGGTTTCTTGTGAGCCAAATTTTAGGACCTTGTTCCTGAGCAATGGCCAAGAAGCCCCAAGCCAGTGGACTTGCGATGGTGGGCTTACAGTTTGGTTTATACAACTCAGGGAGCTGGGAATTACAGGTAAAGTCATAAATCAATGCATGGAAGGTAGACATTGGTTTGGCCCAAAAAGGTGGGACATCTCAAAGTGGGGGCTTACAGGTTATAGGTGGGTTTCAAGATTCTTTTTTTTTTTTTTTTTTGAGACAGAGCCTCAAGCTGTCCCCCTGGGTAGAGTGCCGTGGCATTACAGCTCACAGCAACCTCCAACTCC